CGATTCAAACCGTAATGTATTTTCCGAATTGCTCCCGATTCTTGTAATCTTCCTAATTCTCTTATTAGCCAATCCTTTTCCTCTAACGTGAAACTGCATTGCCTTGGGGTCTTCCTTTGTGCCAAGGTTTTTACATTCCTTGGAAAGAGCGGAATCTTCTCCTCTAACCAGGATATAATTCGTGGTGCTGGTTGGATCACTTCTTTCCAATACCTGATGGCCTGCTGGGTATGGATTTTTCCTGTCACATAAGTCTTTTTCAACTCCCATCCCTTTTCTGAGTCCCTTTCTTCCAACGTCCCCCGAGTGTAGTCAGCTTCTTTGTTCAGCATTCGTGCTATGAAAAAACTTGCCAGATTTCTTGTGCGGACAACTTGAGGCAATATGCCCTTTTTCTTCACAAACATAGCACACTATGTTTGGGTTCTTTCCTAGTGGTCTGGGTGCCCCACTAGCGGCTCCCACCTGGGCATTATACTGCAGCATGAATGTCCCTGTGCTTCTATAGGGATACTGGCTATGATTGTGCGGATAATGAGGGGCTTGATATGGTAAGAATTGGTTACTATATGGCATTTGTGCTTGGTTGATTGGGTCCCCATGCCACTGAGGGAGTGTTCAAGGGAAACCTGGTGGTTGTGATGGCTTCTGCCATGAATCTCTATAGTCCTTATATCCCAATCTCGGTTTCTTATTTTTTGCCAACTGCCTAGCCGTCGTCAACTTATCATGAAAATATTCTTCCATCAGATCATCACTTGCTATTTCTTTTAAACCCGCTGCTATCTCCCAACCTTCTCTGTTTGCAACTCTTAGCATATAGGCTCTTGTGAGTGCTATATCGCGTGCCTTAATCACTGGCTCTAATGACTTGTATGTTATCGCAGCATCCAAGCACTTTCCAATTTTCCGCCATTCATCATATTCAAATTGATCTCTCCACTTATGCATTTTTTCCACTGGCCAATATTTTTCTCTTGTCTCCGTTTCAGCTACTGGTAAACTGTTCTTTATTTCCTCAATCGCTTTTACAATTGTTGCTTGCATTGATTTTTCCAACGATTTTTCCAAAGCACAGAATTGGGATTCTCTATCCCTGCGTTCTAGTTGTGGTTGGTCATCCCTAATAAGAAAATCTTCCTCCTCAAGGTCAACCAAATTTCCTAAATATTCGTCGAGGTCCCTTCCCCTTTTATTTCTTTTTTCTTCGTTTCCTGGGATTTTTCCCTTTCCTTTTATTTTTCTAACTGTTTGTGCCGCTAACCTTTCTATCAACTCTTTTTTGGAACCAACGTCCTGTAAACCT